TTGGACATTAGGAAAAAGTTCCTAACTGTCAGGGTGGTTAAACACTGGAATAAATTGCCTGGGGAGGTTGTGGAATCTCCATCTCTGGAGATATTTAAGAGTAGGTTAGATAAATGTCTATCAGGGATGGTCTAGACAGTATTTGGTCCTGCCATGAGGGTAGGGGACTGGACTCGATGACCTCTCGAGGTCCCTTCCAGTCCTTGAATCTATGAATAAATGGATACCTATAAAATCCTTGTGCGGTTAATAGAAACAGGGGAATTATGTGTGCAAAATAATATTTGTGTGCACAAAATGTATACTTACAAATGCATGATTTATTTGCCTGACAAACTGTTTTGTACACAAATGGGTATTTTGCTAAACAGTTACCTATGGTAAGCAGAGTTTAAGGGCTACTTTTTACCTTAAAAAGTTTTCATTGGCAAACTTGTAATAATAGACAGGGAGGGAAGATGCAATAATATATAATATGATAAAAGTGAAAGATACAAGGGGAGGAGTCCTGCATGTAGGTCAGCTAATAACTACATAATGTTAATTTTATTTAACATGCCGAGAGCAGGATGACATTACATGGCTCTGTAAAGAGCAATACAGCTCATACGTAGCATAAATGCTTTGACAAAACCAAGACAAATAAGAAGAGGAACATGGAAAATATACAATTCATTTGATCAGGTGGACCATGTGGATGAAATAAGCAAAGGCTGACCCAGACTAGTCTGAATTTGGTAAGATAAATTTAGGTGGCTATTTTTTGAAATTTGGCCCTCAATGACTATAAATAATTAAGTTTTATGTAGTATACTGCAGCAAAATTCATCCATATGTAACTGAACTCCAGAATTCTGAACTTCAAAATAACAATCTACTATGAAAAGGACAACAAGAAAAACCTGTAGAAGGCTTAGTGTACTGATTTTCCCCATTGACTTCGGGGCATAAGACAAAAAAGATACTGTCAGGGTTGACAGACACTCAGTTTAACCTGTTATTTTTTTAACTGTCCTTCTGATCTTGGAGAAATATATCAGCTCTCCAGAGCAAAGGTTGCAATCCCAATAAAATTCCACCTTCATTGTTAGGAGACTTACAACAAACCTAGGACATGTGTCAGGCCTTCCCTTCTCTCTGCTGTTGGTCCATCCTTGTGATCAAGGACATGGTATTGAAATGTAAAAGGATAAGCAGGAAGAACTCAAAATACCAGTAAATAAAAACAACTATGACATAGTTGGCATCACAGAGCATTGGTGGGATAATATGCATGACTGGAATATTTGTATAGAAGGGTACAGCTTGCTCAGGAAGGACAGGCAGGGAAAAAATGGAGGAGGTGTTGCCTTATATATTAAAAATGTATACTTGGACCGAGGTTGGGATGGAAATAGGAGACAGACTTGTTGAAAGTCTCTGGGTAAGGATAAAAGGGGTAAAACCAAGGGTGATGTTATGGTAGGGGTCTACTAGAGACCACCTAACCAGGAAGAAGAGGTAGATGAAGCTTTTTTTGAACAACTAACAAATTATTCAAAGCACAGGATTTGGTGGCGATGGGGGACTTCAACTACTCAGACATCTGTTGGGAAATTAACACAGCAGGGCACGCATTATCCAACAAGTTCTTGGAATGTATTGGAGACCATTTTTTATTTCAGAAGGTGGAGAAAGCTACTAGGGGAGAGGCTGTTCTAGATTTGATTTTGACAAATAGGGAGGAACTGGTTGAGAATTTGAAAGTGGAAGGCAGCTTGGGTGAAAGTGATCATAATGGTAGAGTTCATGATTCTAAGGAATGGTAGGAGGGAGAACAGCAAAATAAAGACAATGGATTTTAAGAAGGCAGACTTTAGCAAACTCAGGGAATTGGTAGGTAAGATCCCATGGGAAGCAAGTCTAAGGGGAAAATAATTGAAGACAGTTGGCAGTTTTTCAAAGAGACATTATTAAGGGCACAAGAGCAAACTATCCCACTGCGTAGGAAAGATAGGAAGTATGGCAAGAGACCATCCTGGCTTAATCAGGAGTTCTTCAGTGATCTAAAAATCAAAAAAGAGTCCTACAAAAAGTGGAAACTAGGTCAAATTACAAAGGATGAATATAAACAAATAACACAAGTATGTAGGGACAAAATTAGAAAGGTTAAGGCACAAAATGAGATCAAACTAGCTAGAGACATAAAGGGTAACAAGAAAAAATTCTACAAATACATTAGAAGCAAGAGGAAGACCAAGGACAGGGTAGGCTCATTACTCAATGGGGGGGGGTGGGGAGAAACAATAACAGAAAATGGGGAAATGGCAGAGGTGCTTAATGACTTTTTTGTTTCGGTTTTCACCAAGAAGGTTGACGGTGATTGGACATCTAACATAGTGAATGCCAGTGAAAATGAGATAGGATCAGAGGCTAAAATAGAGAAAGGACTAAGTAATTTTTAACTTATTAAATTAGATGTCTTCAAGCCATCAGGGCCTGATTAAATGCATCTTAGAATACTCAAGAAACTGACTGAGGAGATATCTGAGCCATTAGCGATTATCTTTGAAAAGTCATGGAAGACGGGAGACATTCCAGAAGACTGGAAAAGGGCAAATATAGTGCCAGTCTATAAAAAGGGAAATAAGAACAACCCAGGGAATTACAGACAGTCAGCTTAACTTCTGTACCTGGAAAGATAATGGAGCAAATAATTAAGCAATGAAGTTGCAAACATCTAGAAGATAATAAGGTGATAAGTAACAGTCAGTATGGATTTGTCAAGAACAAATCATGTCAAACTAACCTGATAGCTTTCTTTAACAGGGTAACAAGCCTTGTGGATGGGGAGAAGTGGTAG